TGATTTCCTACACCTGCAAGCTAAGAATGGCTTTAACGTTTTTAAACGGTTGGAAAAAAAACAAAAGAAGACTAATATTTCATGACATGTGAAAGGTATGTGAATTTCAAATTTCAGTATCCATAAATCAACTTTATTGGCACGCAGCTACACCCACTCACTTACATATTATCTATAAGGACTGCTTTTCCCTCCCAGGGCCGAGTGGAGCAGTTGGGAAGATACTGACTCCTGAGCCCTTTATGGAAGGAGTTCACTGACCCACGCATGTTTTACTCCCCAACCCCACACACCGCCCTCGCCTACTTACATCTGCATGGATGAGGAAGTTTCAGGGGAGTTCTTTGTGCACAAACATGAGGAAAAGTGCTAAAGATTTTAAAAGAAGACCAAAGCAACAGCTAAGTATGCCTTCCGTTAAAGGCTCAGAATGGGCCTGCATGGTCCCACAGTCTCGTCCCAACTCTCTCGCCCCTCTCCTGGCCACAGACCTGGTCCCAGCCCTACCCTGCACAGCCCTCGCCAAGCCTGGCACTGCTTCCAGCTTGGATCCCTGAGCCCTGCTTGGGCTGCATACTGGCCCTGCATCTGAGCAGGGGCTGCCTTCCGTCACCCTGACTGCAACCCAGCCCCTCCACTGCACCCGGGCCCCCACCACAGCACTGCAGAGCCTGGGAGCAGGACAGCATCTGACCCTCTAGGTGTCCTTACAGCCAGATCTGGGTAGCTGCCCAGAACTTGGCATGACAGCTGAAGCAGGCGATCTAGGGGAGGACCGTGCGACCAAACTCACTGGGCTCTTCTGCACAGAGAGCAAGGCTGGGAAACACCCAACAGAAAGCTCTAAAGGTCCAAAGTGCAGCTGCGTAAGCCGAAGCCCATTACCTAACATTTAAAGCAAGGAAATGAAGCCCCCTGTCACAGAGGAGTAAAGTAAAAGGAGGAAGTGATCACTAAAAATAAAAATAATAAATTTTCATAAAAAGTAATAGCAAAACTTAAATCAAAATATTCATTTAAAAAGATTTAGGTAAGGATGAAAGGCAGAATTATAAATGTTACTACAAGAAGCAGAGACTGTCTGACCTTTAAGATGAAAGCCGGAGAGTGGGGAAAATAAACCCTCTCCCAGGCAGGTGGTTTGCCCCATTGACAGGGCACATAACACTGTTCTGGGCTGGAGCGACCCCCACTGGACAATCCCAGTGTATCAAATCGTCTCTGCATCCCTCCTCTCCACAGGGGACCTGAAGGGCAGAATGACGTAGTGACTAGTCACAGGCTCTGAAATGAGACTTTGAATCCCAGCTCTGCACCTGTTACTCAGGTAACCTGGGGAAAGTGGCCTGATTCCTCTAACTTCAGCTTCCTGGCCTGTGAAATGAGAATGAATAAGGATACTGTATAGGTGTGTGTTTAAGATGAAAGCAGCATGGATCCAGGTGCTTCACATACGGAACACATTCAGCAAATGGTTGTGAAATGAGAATTGGTGACTGGGATCAAAGGCCAAGGATAGAGTTCCAATAACCAAATAACCACACACCCATGTTAGGGAATTTACTCTCCCCAACCCCAGTCCCTCCTTCACCGCTCACCCTCCACAGCCCCATTGCCCAGACTAAGATAACAGAAGCCTAGAGACGGAGGAAGATCTTGAGTCAGCAGGGGTCCGGAGCCAAGAACAGGGCCTGTGTCAATTACGTGGATGCATGAGTGGGTGGGTGGATAGATGATGAATGGATGGATAGACAGATGGGTGAATGGGYGGGAGGATGGATGATGGATAGATAGGTAAATGGATGGATGGGTTGAAAGGATGAATGATGAATGAATGGATAGACAGATGGGTGAATGGGCAGGAGGATGGATGATAGACAGATAGGTAAATGAATGGATGGATGGGTGAAGGGATGAATGATGAATGATGAATGGATGGGTTATGGATGGAAGGATGATGAATGATGAATGGATGGGTTATGGATGGATGGGTGGGTGAGTGGATGAATGGATAGATGATGAATGGATGGATAGACAGATGGGTGAATGGGCGGGAGGATGGATGATGGATAGGTAGGTAAATGAATGGATGGGTGAAGGGATGAATGATGAATGATGAATAAATGGGTTATGGATGGATGGATGATGAATGATGAATGGATGGGTTATGGATGGATGGATGAAGGAGTGGATGGGTTATAGATGGATGGATGATGGATGAATGAGTGGATGGGTTATGGATGATGGATGAATGAGTGGATGAATGGATAGATGGATGGATGAATGAGTGGATGGGTTATGGATGGATGGGTTATGGATGGATGATGGATGAATAAGTGGATGGGTTATGGATGGATGGATGAATGGATGGATGAATGAATGGATGGGTTATGGATACATGAATGGATGGATGATAGGTGAATGAAGGGATGGGTTATGGACAGAAAGGTGAGTGGATAATCAATGAATGTATGCATGCATGGGTTATGGACATATGGATGATGGATAGATGGGTGGATGAATAATGGATGATGAATGAATAGATGGATGGATTATGGACAGATGGATGGGTGGATAGATGACGAATTAATGGATGGATGAGTAATGGATAGATGGATGGGTGGATGGATGATGAATGAATGAATAAATGGGTTATGGATGGGTGGATAGGTGAATGGATGATGGATAGATGAGTGGATGGATGAACGGATGGATGATGAAGGAATGGATGGATGGGTAATGGACAGATGGATGGGTAGATGGGTGATGATGGATGAATGGGTGGGTGTATGACAGATAGATGGGTGGATGGATGGGTGAATGGATGAATGGGTGAATGGATGAGTGGATAGGTAGACGGGGAGATTGCAGGCCAAGACAATCCTTGTAGAGACAGGGCAGGAAAAAAAGGGTAGATAGGCATCTCATTTCCAGTTGATTCAGTGATCTGCTCTGCACCTACCTGGGAAGAGGAGCTGAGAATTGGACAGAGACAGCAGAGCACGGCATAAGCAGCAGCTGAAAGCAGCCTAAACATCTATTGTTGGTATGGACAGGACTTGTGAATTTTCCATGAGTTAAGAGGACACCAAAAAAGATAGAAAGCTTGGGCTGTCCTGCTCCTAAGGGACTGCCCATCAGGAGAGGGGACCCCAGCCACCAAAGGATGTGAGCTGGACCACCAGGAGTGGGAGCTGAGGTGGTCCAGAGGGGGCTAGGTCAGGGCCAGTCTTCCTCAACAGGAAACCATGAAGCTCAGATGCCCCCAAAGCACTGTCCTATTTACCCACCATGGGCCCTATAGGAGAGCTTCCCAGGTAAGGGAGAAAGAGACATGCTCTGCTTCTCCAGCCCTCAACACAGACCCCATGGTCTGGGGGAGAGAGGAAGCAGAAAGAGGGAGGGGAGTTACAGCCAGTGAGCAGGCCCCTCCCTGCAGGGCCTCCGGCTGGGAGGAACTGAGAAGGGCATGCTGAACCAGCCCACACTGGAGGTTTTGAGTGAACTCGCCTGTACTGGACTCATTTGGACCTAAATGTGACCAGAGAGGCACCAGATCTGCCTAAGACATTGCTATGGGAAAAGAGGGAGATTCAGCAGTGCCTGATGGAGAAAAGTGAGAGCAGAGAAATCAAACTACTTCATATTTGTCCACCACGGAGTTCAGATGGTTCCATAAACTGCTAACCATGGATGCTATTATTACTCCAGAGTTCTTTGTTTAAAATTCTTTTTATAGCACTTTGAGCTCCAGGAAGGAAAACTGTGAACTCAAATAAATCCGACCACCCAGGCTTTTAAAGAAGATGAGAAAAGGCTGAATGTTTCCTCTCTGAAGCCCAGAATTCCCATTCCGCCTGCAAAATAATCCCTGTGGAGACCTGGTGCTGATGCAGCCCTTCCCCGAGGCAGGCCAGGCTTCTTCATGCCAGAGTGTAACCTGCAGGCGAACTTAAACCTTCTACAATTTCACTCTTATTGGCTTCTGTTTAGCTGTTTTCTGGGCAGCTCCTCACCCAGAGCCACTTTTTCACACCTAATTTTAAAGAGAAGGGGGTCAGGAACCGCATCCCACCCGCCTGCCTGTAGACTGAGCCCCAGGGAGAGGGGGCTTCGGGCGCCCCCGTGTTTTGGCTCGGCAGCACAAGGAAGAGTTCAGCACCCACGGCTGTCAGTCTGGCACCTTTCTGTCTCCACCACTAAATTCATTTTAAATTTAAGGAGTACAGATTTGAAATGAAACCATGGAAAAGGATTTCTCTTACAATAAACACATCAATGCTCATTTTCCTTATTATTCTACTTTTAGCTATTTTGTATAAAATCTTTAATTAAAGTTTTTCTTTGAAATTGTCATTATCAACCCAGAAGAAAGGAAGGGGGAAAAAGAACAACACAGCTGTGCAGATATGAAGCACTATTCAGGACTAAATGAACTGGAACGAAATAAGTAGCTTGACTGTTATGTTCTTAGTTTTGGCTCTATGCTCTCAATAGCACAGTCTAACTTGTCACTTTATATCGGTTCCATCTGTTTACACTCTGCAGAGTATTGGCTTCCTACCGTGAACATTTCCTATTTACCAGCTGGTAGAGATGCGCCAAACCAGATAGGAAAAAATTAGACTACATTCAGAACCTCATAAACACAAACTTCCAATCCAGGGACAAGCGGGCGGGGGGGTGGGAGCGGGGGCATCGCTCACCTTTCACAGAGGCCGCCTTGCCTCCTGCCTCTGGGCTGATGCGCTCACTGCTCTGGCAGTTGCCCCGACAAGCCAAGGACTATGAATTTCTTTACTGAACATATGGACACCCTGCCTTTATCAAAAATCGACCAAGCTCACATAAAAAGACATCCAAATAAGATCCACAGAAATGGAGAAAAGAAAGCAGACCCCAAAAAAGGAGCTAAAGGAAACTAAAAGTCATAGTTGTCGTAACGAAGCAAAACTCTGGTTTGGGGCCTCCTTGCAGCCAAGATGAAGAGGGAAACTTGTGGTTAGAGACATGTAAACCCTCCCCCATATTCGACTTTCATTTTTAAAATGCTTACCTGTAATGTATAGCTTATCGCATCTATTAAGAAACTCTAGCTATTCACTGAACTTATGGCGCAGCTATGAAGAGATGCCCTGGCTATATATCGAGGGACTTATAAGGGTTCCAGGATGCACGTGGTGGCTTATGTCTATAATCCCAGCACTTTGGGAGGCTAAGGCAGGATGATTGGCTGAGGCCAAGAGTTCAAGACTAGCCTGGGCAATATAGTAAGACCCCATCTCTACAGAAAATAAAAAATTTAAATTTAAAAAAGCATTGCTGACCTATAAGAAATGTTTCCTTTCTTTCTGACCCAGCCCACACTCATAGGATGAGTGCTCCACCTTAGCCACCATAGGCCAAGAATCTTGGGGTCCTTAAGAGCCCCAGCCTCGGCTTACTCATAGGACAGAGCTGCACACCGGGAGGGACAAGGCTGGGACATCAGGAGCCGCCATCCTGACCCAGCATCCTGCTGCTTGCCTGGACATCATGGGAGAGAATGCTGCTTTGAGAAAGACAAATGGAAGAAGGCTATTCAGGTCATGTGAAAAGCTTCCCAGGCTGGGCCGGTGCTGGGTACTGCCATGTGGCTAAAGTACTTTGCCAAGAGCCTAGCCAGCCACAGACCACCTCACCTAAGAACTAGACCAGAATCTCTGTCATCTCCCCCAGCATTTCCCAAAATGGCGTTCCTCCAAATACAAGTTCTTCTGGATCTAGAGCTAGACAAATAAATGCACAGAAAGGCTGGCTGCAGCAACATTCAATAGATTTCTACACGGTGGCCTCCTCTGAGGCTTCACTGTGCTGACGTACATGGTGAATCTTCAGGGACCAGGGGAACCGCACTGGAGAAGGCGGGGCTGGTTCTAGGGACCAAGTCAGCAGGACCTAGTGGTTAACTGTATGTAGAGGGTGAAGGAAAGGCAAGTACAAGTGGCGCCCAGTTTCTGCCTTGGTGACCTGCATGGATGAGATCAAGAACATAGAGTACATTGCAGATGTGGGGAGGAAGACTGTGAGTTCAGCCAGTGCACACTCAGCTGGGAGTGCCTACCTCCTCCCTGTTCAGCCCCGTACACGTCTTTCCTCCCGGCAAATGGATCCAGTTGGTGGGAGAAAACCCACCCTGCGCCTTCCTGCCTGCCTTCTCCTGTTCATTCATGAATTCCAGGACTTTATGAGCACCTAGTATGTACACACCATCTGAACTCTTACCCTTCCTCTAAGGCCTGGCTCAAATCCATCACCCTCCCTGGGTACCTCTCCAGTAGCCAGTAGGGGTGACTTGCTCCTACAAAGTCTTAGAGAGTTTACCGCCCACGTTTCTCGGCTGTCAGTATGAGCACAGGTAGGAAAAGATGCCCCATCTATATACTGAGGGACTTACAGGGGTTTCAGGCTGGGCGTGGTGGCTCATGCCTCTAATACGAACATTTTGAGAAGCTAAGGCAGGAGGATTGCTTGAGGCTAGGAGTTCAAGACTAGCCTGGGCAATATAGTAAGACCCCATATCTACAAAAAAATAAAAAAAATTTTTTTAAAAAAAGGGTTGCTGATCTATAAGAAATGTTTTTTTTTTCTTTCCTTTCTTTCTTACCCTGCCCACACTCATAGGATGAATGCCCCATCTCAGCTGCCACATTACTGCATAACCCTAACTCCTCTTGATCCAGGTAATATACCACCCAATAAACACATTCTTAAACCATCACAACGTGTTGCTTGTGCCTGTGTTCCCAAGGTGATTTTCAGTTTCCAGAGGACAAGAATCAGGCCTTGTCTTCTTTGTGTCCCCAATAACCACAGGGTGTCCCCACAATACCAGTAGGTGCTCAACAAATGCAGATGATGATGGTAAGAGGGGACCGATGACTTCCGAGCCTGACAACAGGTACTCGGACTCCAGTTGCGTTCCCTGCAAATGCACCCATTACGCTGCTGACAGCACTCTCCTAAATACATCATAACCCCTTACCAGAAACCGTCAATCCTCCTCCTCCTGCCCCAAATACACCTGGCCTTCAAATACGCCTTTTCCTCCCGTCTACCTTACAAAACTGATCTGTTGCAACTTGCCTTGAAAAACGTAACTCTACAGAATAGCCACGGGGCTGTCTCCTTGCCATGCTCTGGCCACATCTCCGCTTCCCTCTCCCCATGCCCTTTGCTTGTGCCAGGCTGCAATTCTGAAAGCCACCCTACAGGTCTTCCCCTACCCCATCCTCAGCGTGCACTGCAACTCTATCTACGGTCCAAACCCAAGCTCCAATGTCACCTTCCTCATCCAATTGTTCCTGGCTATTCCAAGGAATATGGACTTTTCTACAAAGCCTTATTTATTAATACAATAATGATTTACTGAGTGCATATCAGGCACCAGGAACTGTTCAAGGCACTAAAGTTATAGCAGTGGGGCAGAAAAGGCACCTGCTCCCACAGAACACACATCCCAGTCATCAACAAGCAAACGAACAACATTTCAGAATGTTCTGCGTGTTCAGGAAGATGTACAGCTTTAGATAGGGAAGTCAAAAAACATCTCACTGGAGAGCTTTCTCATGCAGAGCTCTGAAAGCCGAGGCGTTTAACTGAAGTTTACTTGAGGCACAAGAAAAAGCTAGGGGGCATGTCCATCAGAAAAGCCTGACAGGCTCTGGCTTAAGTTTTGAACGGATAACTCTGGCTATCATGTGGAATGCAAATTGTAAGGGGCAAGAGAGGCAATGGAAAACCCAGCTAAGGGGTCACTGACAAAGCACAGGCTAGTGACGATGGTGGCTTAGGCTCTAATGGTGGCTGTGGGGATGGATCAGAAGTGTTTGGGTTTGGGATCTAGCTCGGGATACAGTAGACAGAAATTCCTGATGGCCTGGGTAGAGGAGGGCACCAGTAAGGGAGAGGAATCAAGACTGGTCCTGGGTTCCTGCTTGAATGAATGACGAGTGGTAGAATCATTTACCAACCTGGGAGAAAGCCTTCTTGGGGTGGGACAGGAGGATGGTTACGAGTCACGTTTTTGTCTGTGGACACTGGTGAGTCTGGGGCCTCAGAAGATCTAAATGTGGGCACCCTCAGTAAAAAAGCCCTCTTATCCTTCCCCTAGTACCTTTAAATCCTAGAGCAGTGGTCCCTGACCTTCTTTGCAATGGGGACCAGTTTTGTGGAAGACAATTTTTCCACGGAGCAGGGGTGAGGGGGTATGGATTTGGGGTGAAACTATTCCACCTCAGATCATCAGACATGAGTTAGATGATTCTCATAAGGAGCATAAAATGTAGATCTTTGCATGCCCAGTTCATGATAGGGTTTGCGCTCCTCTGAGAATCTAATGCCACTGCTGGTCTGACCGGAGGTGGAGCTCAGGCGGTGAGGCTCATTTGCCCACTGCTCACCTCCTGCTGTGAAGTCTGGTTCCCAACAGCCCACCCACCAGTACAGGCCTGCAGCCTGGGGGCTGGGGACTGCTGCCCTAGATGACCTCATGCCATCCTTCGGCTTTCCATGTAAGAACTCACATGCTTTATGTCCTCTCAATGGAAACTCCTCCTAATTTTGCTTAGTAACTTCTATGGGCCCAGCACTACGGTGAGTTCATTTTATATTTATTCTCACACAGAATCCCAACAACATTGGGAAAACCCTGCAATACTGTTTCCCCATTTCACAGATGGGGAAAGTCTCCAAAGAGGCTAGACTAGTTGGCTCAGGATCACTCAGAGAGTATGTGCTGGTGTTCAAACGCACGCTTGCGCTTGCTAAGGCCAGTGCTCCAGACCGTGCCCCCACACCACGCTGCTTTAAACACCGACCCTACAATCTTGTGTTTGTACTGTGAATTTGTCATACACAGGAAGACTAACCAAAAAACTTAGTCTGAAACAATTGCAAATTCTGACATTACAGAATCTTTGCTGTAGTTTCCTCAGGAAGGCTTTAGTAAATTAATGATAGAGCAACCAAAAATAGGTCCTGGGGTAGAAGCATTTTCGATATAATTTTTTAACAAAATGCCAACTGATTATTTTGTGGTGTGAGATTCTTTAGATCAAAATATAAGTGCTACTCTTCATTTAGTTGCACGTAGACACAAGAATAAAAGCTGTGACATTATTAATCACTATATTCAGTTATGATTGATAGGCTTTTCTGCGGGGAGGAAAAAGTGCCTCAGATACAATCTGTCCCAACAGCTCTACGATATGCTAATATTTTCTTCAGATGAAAGAGGAGATGTGTTCAGATACCTGCTACAATAGGCAGTTAATACCAAATGCGCCAAAGCAGAGCTGATGAAAGTAGGATTAGAGGAATATTAGGAATTAGCCAAGAGCCTGCATGCTTTCCTAAATGGACTCATTTTTAGCTTGACACAGCCTTTTTATGAGGCAAACAGACTGCATTCCAGTCCATTCATGCTAATGTTGTTATAACATTAAGGTGTGTTTATGAAATGGTGGTGATTCTAACAACTGATTCCTTATCCTTTGAATATTAAATTTTTAAATGTCTTTTTAAAGAAAATTCACCTTTAAGAGAATGAATCTACTCATCACTGTTGTCTCTTCTTCATGAGGGTATTACAGAGCAAGCCAGCAGCTCAGCAATGATAATTATTTACTAATTGCTTCGGAAATGACTAAGGCTCCACACACCTCCAAGGCACCACGGTAAACCCATCAAAACCTGTGTCAGATCGCTCGGTGTCCAACAGACACACTCGTCACAGCCGACTGGGTAGACCAGATGTTCTGGCATCTGAGCCTTCAAGCATTTTTTTTTTTTTTTAATCTTTTGAGAGCTCCCTGACTTGGGATAGTGATGCGGTACCAGACCAAATGGCCTGGGGCTATGGGTGCTTTCTTTTTCTTTTTATATTTCTTTAACTGAATATACTTTCTTTAATTCTAGTCTTCACTTAAGAACATATTTTCTTGTGAAGGGCAGAGTCATGACCTTCTAAACATACACTGTACATACAGGTCGGAATCGCTTCCTGTCTCTCGGTACTTCCCTCCACAGGGCTCACAATGAGCACTCACGCCACCCTACGTGGTAAGATGGGATTCTCTTCCTTCCTCAGCCACTCCTATCTTCACCTCTTGTCAACAGTTGGCACATGATGGATGGAGTAAAAAACTTGACACTTCGCTAGCCTGGCAACACGCTGCATCTCTGCTCAAGTTCCTTCTCTCCTGGCAGTCCTTGCCTGAAGAGTGTGAGGAAGCTGTCTGAGGTCTCACACGCTGCCACCGCTCCAGGATGGAGCTGGGACCCCACAGGCGACAGGGTGCATGGATGGCTGATGAGGTGGAGGGCATGTGAAAGGCAGGACACCGGAGAGAAAGGGAAGAAAACTCCCAAATGCCCACCTGCAGTAGATGCTCTGTAGACAGAAAGACAATGCTGTGGTTGGAACACAAGGCTCCACCGAGTGTGAGGCGATGGGGAACAGAAAGGCTTCTCTCTGCGATGGACTGGGTCTAGCTGCAGGCATAACAAGCTGCTGCCTTTGCCGAATGCAAAGTAAGCATCGACCTATGCCTGCTTAGCCTGTTCTCAGCTTCCCCCATATCAATATGGGGCAACAACGGCACCTGCCTCATGGGGTTCACCTGGGAATTAAATGATTTCATACGATAAAGCACTTAGAAAAGCTCCTAGTAAGTGCTCAATCAGTGCAAGCTATTATTACTAGTGTTGGCAAAATCTGAAAAATTACATTCATGTCCAAAAGATGAAGGTCCCACCAGCCAAGAGGGGTCCCTCCCATAGGCAGCTGAAGCATATACACTGGTTGCCTTCCCAAATCTACTCACCTCCACCTACTTCTCCTTATTTTTGGAGATGGAGTCTCGCTCTGTTGCCCAGGCTGGAGTGTAGTGGCACAATCTCAGCTCACTGCAACTTCTGTCTGCCAGGTTAAGTGATTTTCCTGCCTCAGCCTCCCAAGTAGCTGGGATTACAGGCACGTGCCACCATGCCCAGTTAATTTTTATAATTTTGGTAGAGACAGGGTTTCACCATGTTGACCAGGCTGGTCTCGAACTCCTGATCTCAGGTGATCCACACCCACCTCGGCCTCCCAAAGTGCTGGGATTACAGGTGTGAGCCACCGTGCCTGGCCGCCCACCTCTCTTTTTTTAACAAAACCCTCTATTTTCCATTTTGTTCAGACATCCGTCCTCCTTGAGTGGCCGTGTGCTCCAGAGGAGGGAACCCAGTGGCCACACCAGGTGGTGATCAAGGTTGGTCCTGGCTGCTGGCAGGAAACAATTTCTTTGCCCATGACTGCTTTAGGTATAGGACATAATTCCAGCCTGTGGGACACAGGGAGGGGCTTTCTCTTGTTTTTAGAATCATATTAGGGAAAAAAAAAGTAGCCCATTAAAAAAAAATTTGACCTCAAAACATCTGCCTGGAGTGGTGGCAACCTCCTGGTGACCAGAAAGAGAGGTAGGCGGTTTAGTCTACCCCAGCCTCCACTCCCTCCTCACTTCTTCGGTGAGATAAGAAGCTCCTTATTTTCTAAGGCAGTTAAGTTGGAGTCTTCGGTTTCTCATAGGGGAGAAAACCAAATATCTCTGTGGCCAAGGGGTTGCCATCTTGTGGCAGACAAACACGGCCACAGGAAGGGTTTTAGTGGAGTTCAGCAAGGAGAACCAGCTTCACTCATCATCGGAGGCAGGGACTGTCACTTACTGAATATCTACTGTTTGCCCAGGCTTCACTTACGTTTATTCTTGTCAGTACCCTGAAAGGTGGGTTTTGTTGTCTCCACTTCAGAGATGAGGAAACTCAGAACAGATGAGAAACCATCCCAGGCATCCCACCACCCCCAGCAGCAGAGGTGGGGTTTTAGCCCAGGTGTACCTGATTCTCCATCAAGCCCTCTGGCTCCCAGGAGACTATGGAGACAAGGAAGCTGAAGGCCAGAGAACTCAGAAGCCAGTCTAGGAGACGCTCAGTCAAAGGCACAGAGGAGCCACATGAAAGCAGAGAGTCACGATTGTGGCCAAAATGGAAAGCAAGGGCCAGGAGAGTGCCAGCAAGTGAGAAACGCACCAGGACTTAGCGTGGCTGTTGAGTGGAACCTGAGTGCAGATTAAACCAGAGCCGGGACCAGGTGGATCCTGAAGAGGACACGCTGAGAACCACCCTGGCCTTCCAGAGCCTTCTCCTCCAAACAGAGAGTGCCTCTTCCCATGAAACCGTGGGGCACAGTCACCAAAGACAGAGAGATGAAACCCAGAGATCATCAAGTCTGGCCTTCTCCTTTGACTGAAGGAGAAAATGGGGCTCAGAGAGCCCAAGGGTTCAACTGGATCATGAGTGTGAATGAGAATCAGCTGGAGGGTCTGAATGCTCGTGAAGAAGACAGAGGCTAACAAACCAGCCAGCGGCCCAAACTCACTGCAGAAGAAAACAATTAGGAAATAGGAGTGCTGGGGTTTAGCTGGTTTGGGGTTCCCCCTGCTAATTATTTGTTGGTGTAGGAAGGCCAGTCCACACATGCATCTGGCTCCAAAAATTCAGAGGCATTTGCATGCATTCTTGGCTCAAGGTAAGCCACATGGACTTAAAATAATTAGCATTCTTTCATTCCCAAACTGTAACCATCACCCAGCAATGACATGTATATGAAGAGAGGCTTACTTAGATAATTCCTAAGTCTTCTTGTCAGTCTCCAACATTAGTGAGTGACCATTAGAAGGGTCAGAGTCTTCATTAGAAGCATGCTACTGCACATAGCACAAGGTTGAGGGGTATACTGATTTGTTCTCATTTGGAGGTGGAGGGGCTGGAAAGGAATGAGATTCATTTGTGTTCCTACCTATACTTCAAAGGAAGCTCTATGGATAAGCACAATAGTAATAGCTGGCATTTTTTAAGTGTTCCAGGTGCTTTATTCTGAATTTTTTTTTTGAGATGGAGTCTCGCTCTGTCACCAGGCTAAAGTGCAGTGGCGCAAACTTGACTCACTACAACCTCTGCCTCCCAGGTTCAAGCAATTCTCCTGCCTCAGCCTCCCAAGTAGCTGGGGCTATAGGCGCCCGCCACCACACTCAGCTCATTTTGTATTTTTAGTAGAGATGGGGTTTCACCATGTCGGCCAGGATGGTCTCGATCTCTTGACCTCGTGATCTGCCTGCCTCAGCCTCCTGAAGTGCTGGGATTACAGGCATGAGCCCCAGCCCGACCTATTCTGGATGTTTTTAAGCCCCACAGCAGCACGTGAAGGTAGGAGCTGTTATCCCCAGTGACAGGTGAAGAAACCCAATGATGAGGACTTGCCTAAGGCCACCTGGTTGGTAAATGGCAGAGCCCCAAGATAGAAACCCAGGTCCCGGGGTCAGTCTCCTCCCATCTCCGCTGCAAGTCCAGGGTTGGGGTCGTAGGTAGAATTGGGGCTACAGTCTGTGCTGGCTGGAATGCACGGTGGAAAGAACCCTCCACTACGCTGGTACTTAGCGTTACCTTTTCCCTCCACCTTTGTTCTCATAGACAGTTGCATGAAAACTGCCTGGGTTTAAACTCTTAGCAATGGGTTTCCATGGGGCAGAGGATGGAATTTAAAACATTAACTG